TCCTTTTTTTTTTTTTTTTTTTCATTTTTAGTTTTTATTGAATTAGGAATATAATTGTAACTTTGTTGGGTGAATTTATTGAAAATATATTTTAATTGTGGTGTGTTAACTAACTTTTATGGTGGTAATATAATTACCCTTTCATTAAATGAACTCAACCGTCCCACTGAAGTTTTTCTATATATTTGGTTAGGTAAAAACATGACTAATTATTAGACGGTTATGATGGTGACCCGAGATTAATTTAATTGCGCAACTACTCAATATGGTCAATGAATTAAATAGATATAAATGTCAAACAACAACAATTAAGTAACACGAAAAGTTAGCAAAATAAGAGCACAAAATATTAAATTGCTCGTTAACTTTCATATGAAATAATATAACTCAAATATATTGTTGATCACACAACAACAGCAATATTATTATTAGAGAATCGAGAAATACAAATATTACCACTTTTTTGAAAATTTTAAAAGAGAAAGTCTTCCACGAATTAGCCACTGCAATTTTCTCGACATATGCCCACATTCATGTTTTATTGGCTTATACCATTTCAAGCCTATAGAATTCACAATATAATCGAGTTAAAGTTGAATTTCAAGCATCAACATAGGAAATTAAACGACGTGGTGCGGAATGGCTCACAATATTGGCAAGTCCAAGGGTCAATTTGATCCTTGGTTTTGAAAGATAGTTCAACCCAAGTGCGGTTGATCTTTTAAGCCCAAGTTTGATTTAGCTTAAAAAAGTTCATAAAAATTTGAATCAAAATCAACAATTAATTTAAAATAGACATTTTATGAAACCCACGACTTTTATTAACTTTTCAATTACACATTTCATTAATTTTTATCAAAATCTACTAAAAATTTGATTTTTAGCAAAATCAAACTGGAGCTAAATCATCCACAAGTATAGTGAAACTAGTCTCTCCATTTTTACTTTTCTAACCATGATACACATGAAATTCAGAAAGTCCACAAAGAGAACTTTGGTACACACAAGCTTAGAAATTACAGAATCTATGGTTCTTAAGAAGCATTTTCATATCACCAGAACAAATCACACTCATAAATGTACATCTCAAACAGCAGTTGACAACATGATGGTTTAACGTGAGCCCCCCTGGTATAGTAAGTCAAGTAAACTCACAGGTTGTTGTATCCTCGACAGGGGGCTATGAGAGGAAATCAGATTAATACGGAAAATAATCTTCTGCTCCGTGGCATTTCTTTTAGCAGTCACAATATACTGCAAGCCTTTTGATCCTTTCTATTCTTTTTCTTCTTTTGCTTTGGTTGCTGCAGGACAAGCTTAATGGCAGCATCAAAGACTGCCTTAATATTCTGGCAATATTTGGACAAATTATATAAAAGATATTGTTGATAATCTAAATCGAAAGAAGCATTACAATGGAGACAAAAAATATTGTACCAAAATGCAAACAGTAAAAAGACCTGCTGTGTCTTTGCACTACATTCGACGTAAGCAGCTTGTCACAGATCGCAAGGTCATGACTTAAGGCTTGGCATGACACGGGAATGTCATGACACAAGGTGGAAAAATGAAATAAACTTATGGGAAATAAGGTCTATACTTCGACGATATATGGCGATGAGTGCGTCGCCAAATTCAGTGAGGTAGTGACTTATGCCCATGCAGTCGCGACCGATCCGTCCCGGTAGCGGTCGCAAGATAGCTCGGGTGACGCGTTTCAAAAGGACGGAACAGCTTGCGAAAAGGGACACAGGCAAATTCGGCAAAGGTCGCAGGTAGATTCGGGCTGGGGACGCAAGTAGATTGTTTTGGGGCAGAATGCAGGCTGCCTAGATCGTGCAGTTTTCCAGGGTATTAATGAGGTTTTTCTAAGTCCCGACCCACCATTTTGAGAGGTAAAATACATAAACCTGCAACCGGATATTTTGAGGATGCAAGTGGACAACTTGCATAACTTGTCCACTTGTGTGCCACTTGCAAGCTAAGCGTGAGTTGTATGCAAACTAAGCACGAGTTGGCAAAGATATTATCAACTTGCAAGCTAGGCGCGAGTTGTATGCAAGTTAAAACACGAGTTGGCAACAACTTGCAAGGCAAGTTGTAAGACCATCCACTTGAAGACAACTAAGAATGAGTTGGGGACAACTAAGCACGAGATGGCGACAACAAAGCGCAAGTTGTAAAGTGAAATGCTTAAGGAGGTTTAAGTTTGCCTATAAATAGAGATGTGGTCTCATTTGTAAATGAGATGGAGTAGAGGTTAGAAAGTGTAGAGAGTGTAAAATGAAGAGAGTTTATTCATTAGAGAGATTGTAAAGTTTTCCCCTTTCATTTATACAAAGAAAGTTTCCCCGTCTTTACTTGTTTTCATATATTACTTACTTCAAAATTCTCTTCTTAACGTGGGTATAATTTAGCCTCCTTGGTTAAATTATTTGTGGGCGTGGAAAGGCTGACTTAAAGTTTTCTCGTGAGGTGCGGGAATTGTAGACGTTAAGGCCGCATGGTTCTAGTTTGTTTGGGTGTAACGAAATTAGGCCCGTGACAAGCTGCTCCAATTAATTTCCTAAGCTTTTCTCCCTAAAAAAGCGGGAAAGTAATTCTTGAGGGATACAAACACATACTCAAAATGATGGGCAAGGCATAAAATTGTCGCAGTAAAACATGGATAGAAATTTAATGACATGAATGTAGCAAAATATAACTGAGCAGTCGTAATGGGCACTGCTTCAGGGTGATCTGCAAAGAACTGTTTATCCTTGCGAAGATCTAGAAGGAAACAAATACGGTTCTCAAATATCACAAAGTTGTTGTGAACAAAGATGAATGCAAGCATTCATTTTGATCAATGTACCCTATGGTCATCAAAAGACACGCAGCGACAGGTATTTAACACTCAATTCACTCACAGTACCCTCAATTCACTCAAGTTGCACAATGAATTTTCCGAACACTAGTATGTCTAGGAAATTGATTGGTTGATTATGTCATATAAATTGCATCACAAGTTTTACTTTCTTCCCCTGCCAAGTTTAAGTGCTAATTTTTGCATCCAATTTTGACAGAAAAGAGTCTTTTGTCATAGACAGGGTTGTAGTCATGGACCACTCGTTACAATTACTAGCATTCCTCAGTTATTTTCTCCCAACCTTGAACCTTTTGTGTGTACAGAATTCACCTGGCATTAGTTGTCAGCTTAATACAATCATGCAAACGAGTCCTTAATAATGCTCTCAAGGGCACAAATCTCCATATAAGACTATATCGAATTACTATCAGCAGTAGAAATATAATCTAGTTGTTTGCAATCAAACATGAAATACCATCCCATCAGATAGAATGAGGTAGTAAAAATAAATAGTACTACAAGATTAGTAACACTCCATAGCAAAATAAATTGGTGGAAGGAAAATCTTACCAAGTTTTGTGCCGACAAGAATGATTGGAACACCAGGAGCATAATGTCTCAATTCAGGAATCCACTGGCATCAAAAGAGAAGTATACAAATCAGGAGCATGACATTTTATTCCTTTCCAGTTATTTATTTACAATTTGTAATTTTTCGGAAGGAGGTTGGAAGTTGGAAAGACTCCTCAGCAATTCATTTGGACAAGAAAAAAATATTAAACGAGTAAGGAAAAATAGCATACCTCTTGCTGGTCTCCTTTTTTCTTAGTAAAACACAATGAGATTATTTATGCCTTCTTTCTTTCTCTTTTTCCCTCTATTCAATACCAAATGAATATAACATGTAGACAAGGGAAGAATGCATGATACTGGCAAAACATAGGCTCACCTTTTTAGAGACGTTTTCGTAACTAGCCCTGCCAATGAGGGAAAATGCAAGTATAAAGACATCAGCACCACAGTAGCTCAACGGTCTTAACCTATTGTAATCCTCCTGACCTTTTTAATGAAATAAGAGTCAAAACTACTCAACAATAGGTTTAAAGATCAATAAGAAAATACTTCAGCAGGAAACAAGTAATGTACTAGCAGTATCCCATAAACCTAGATTAACAGTGCTCCCATCCACAAAGACATTGGCACTGAAATTGTCAAAAATGGTAGGCACGTAATCCTGTTCATTTTATTAAAGAAGAGATCAAATATGCAAACAAACTTTAACTGAGAAATATAGTATACCAAATTTTGCTATATCATACGAGAAGACCTTCAGAACTTCACCAGAAATAGAGAAAAAATCAAATGTTTTCTGTTAAATACAAACTAAAAAACTCAAACACAAAGACAAACTCAACTATTCAAGTATATTTTTGAACCGTTTTTAGTTAACGCTAGGGGAAAAATCAAAATGAAACACTATGATCTAACAGTAAATAATTAATTTAAAATAGTGCATAGATCTAAAGGAAACTCCTTTAAAGGCAAAAATAGACCGAGTAAAATGAAGGACAGCCAAGATTTTCTCGCAAATCAAATTTCCAGAAGAAATACACAAAAACCCGAGGCCTCTTCATTTTAGTTATAAGAGAAGACAAAATAATTATTTGATATGTAAAAACCAAAACAAATTTGTTTTGATACAAATGTTTATTGAAGATTCATAGAAGATTCTCTGCTCCTTGGAAAAAGTATTCAGGACAGGTTGAGGTGTGCACGGCCATGTGATGGAAAAAAGGAGTCTTCTGGCCAGAATGTCGGCCATCATGGCCTCTAACACAATAGTGTAGTCAGTTATAAAGAAATATTGTCCGTAAATAATATAAATTTCATTATGCACCATAGCTTTCATTTCTAACCCAAAAATCTTATTGTCTAGTAATCTACGTATAGGAAGTTTTATTTAAATGGATACTTCATTTGAACTGCATATGTAACTACAACTATAAAATCATTTACCAAAACAGAAAAGTTGTTTTCGATTTTGCTAGATGTTTTAAAAATATTCCTGGAAAATAAAACCTAGTCAATAAAGCAATTGTTCTTTGAATGTGTATGTTCGTGTAAAACCTGCAAGCGTACGGGATCGTTGTACAAATAATAAAATTTGTGAGTTAAGAGTATCGTTCACACGAGGAATAAGGTTTAATATTTAGTTAAGCAGCTTTTACTAAATTCGAAGTAATATAAAATCAAGAAAGTTGTGATTTGTATGTTTTCTATGCTAATCTTAAACTAAGAAAGCAAATAAAATATTTATTTAATATTTGAATATTTGTATTGGAATTGTGAATCCCTCTATTGCCATTTAATTCAACTCTTAATTTATAATCTAGTAAATTCATGCATTCAAGACAATCAATAATCCATTTTTATTCAATATTCTTTCCCAAAATATATTGAACCTATGTTTAACACAATCCGATCCTATTCCTAATCCGAATTCATATGAAAAACATGCATTGATTCACAGGATTTTATCACACATGATTGCACATGTCATAGATATTATTCTTAACACCTATTGTCCATGCGTTGATTTTACCGTGTTTTAGACTTATTGTGAGTATTCTTACACTACAACAAGCAACTTACTATCTAATTCGTGATCAAGCAATTAAATAGTTCAATGAGAATGCAAAACCAATCATGAAATACTAAATTAATTGTCTTGAATTAAAATAAACGAACGATAAGGTTCATCATTCATCCAATACAATGAAAAACTAACATAGCATATTAATATATAAATTACAAGAAGAATAATAGAAAAATATCACCCAGATCATGAAAGAATACAAAATATGTTGATCTTCATGTCCAAAGTTGAATTCTTCAAAACTTGATGTAATTGAACTTCAATTCCTTGCTATGGCTTGATCCCCTCTTTCAAAATATAGTAATTGACCCCTTGTTCTTGACGAATTTGATGAAACTATTGTGTACAAAGAGGCAAGAGAGAGACCCTTTCATTGCTACCTTTGTATTTATATGATGAAATTAGGTCAAAATTCACATCCAAATTGTCTTCCAAAAGAGTTTGAATCAAAATAAGGAAAGTTGCCTTCGCGCGCACATAATTTTGTCTTTGCACAGCCTTCAATATTTTGATCATAACTTTCTCTATCGGTGTCCAATTTAGGTGATTCAAAGTGCATTGGAAAGCTAATTAAAAGATATACAATTATTCTACAAATACAATTTTTTCCAATTCAAACGTTCTCCATCCGAAAAATGGGTCTCAAATTGACCAAAAATCTTGAAGATATCCTATATGATTGGAAGTCGATTTATGGTAATATTCTAATCACATCCCTTTCCTTTTTGACTCCAATTTGTTTTCAATTGACTCCCATCAATCTTCAATGTATCTTTTATGGTCCAAATCAACCATTAAATATTTACACTTGGTCCCCATACATTGGATTTGCTTCATTTAGTCATTTTTCGTTCTTTTTTCCAATTCTTCTTTAAAACGTGAATTTTTCCTAATAAAAGCAATAAATAACAAATAAGGTACTAATACGTTCAAAGAATAACAAAATATCATCATTTAGGATCCCAAATAAGTGTAGACACTACACTTATCAAACCCCCAAACTTGAATCTTTGTTTGTCCTCAAACAAAACTAAAATCCAGCAAACACACAAACTCACAGTGCTAATTACCTAATTGGTGGCCAGTCAATCAAGCAATGTAAAATAATTTAGCTAGCTAACCCGGCTTTTTATCTCAAGATTGAAATCATAAAATCAAATTTGTGCACAGCTTTAAAATCACAATACAGAAATTAAAATCTATTTTTCTAATGTAAAATTGGCGTATGTGTGTGGAGAATTAAGCATAGCATCATGAATTCACTAGTGGTTTCAATTCCTAGCCCTCAATGGTTAAATATGTTCTTTCATCACTCGTAAGACTCACATACCCCCAAACTTATTCTTTTCGTTATTTTCAAGTGTATGACCTAAGGTTGCATTTTATTACTATCCTCGCCTCTCTAGTTTAGGTAAATCTCACTAATTGCAAGTCGATATATCAATAAATAAAGATCATCCACAGTTTGATTGCTTCAATCTCTATAACTCAATCAGGCTAATAATCCTTTATCAAAAGTCAATTTTCTTAAACAAGTGTTTGAAACTTAATCAAAGCATCCGGTGCGTCTTCTGTTTCATGCACCAAATTTTTCCTTTTTTTTTCAATTTTTATTTCAACATTTTTTTTGCAGTATTCTCTCCCTTGAGCTTTCTAAATGACCCATTTAACGAGGTTTAGGCCGATGAATCCCAAGTCAGTTGACTTTAGGGCACCAGGTTTTAACACCCTTACATACTTAATAACTCGAGTCATAAAGGCTACAAAGAGAAATTTTCAAATAAAATATTTTATTTTTTTTATACATTGATTAGTGCAATATCCCTTCTTAAACACTCTCCAAGTAAACCAACTTCTAACTTGAGACTTTTACCCAATTTCATCCTACTGACCTTAGACAATCCACACAAGATTTTTTTTTCACACATGGAATCCCCATTTATCTCAAAATCTTCCTACAATGGTGAAATCCTCCAAACTATTCTAAATTTGATCTAAGGATGTATAATGTAGTCGTTTTGGGTCTATGGTCCACTATTTCAACCTATCGATTATCAACTCATTTTTACACAATGCTTAACTTAATTCGTGTGCTCAATATATTTCAACTTCACATGAAAAAACAAAAATTAACTTAAGTATGCAACCTATTCACCATTCATAGATCAATTCATAATTCAATATATGCATTATTACCAATCAGGCTAACTAACTCATATAAGCACACAAAAAGACAATATTTTTGAAAATTTCAATTTTTTTCTTTTATCTTTTTGTATTTTTAATATTTAAAACAATAAAACACACACACAAAACAAATGAAAACTCATGTTTTTCACCCCCAAATTTAAATTAGACATTGTCCTCAATGTCTTAAATCCTATGTCTACGTATAAGGGGTGGGAGAAAAAATGAAGAAAAGACTCCCTTGATTTGGCAATGAAATTCAACGGTTAGATTTTCCTTGTCTCCCATTATTTCCTTGGGAACGGTTAATTTAAGTGTTTCACGATGTCATGTTCCTGCACAATGCAGATAAATAAAGCATTAAGATACAAAAGATCTGGAACAAGTGTTACTTGGCTCAAACATCAATAAACCAACAAGTAACCTAAGGAAAAATGGGATATAGATGATGATTCCCTAATTAAAATCATAAAAATAAACTAAATTATCCTATAAGTAGAAAGCAAAATAAATAAAAGGGATAGAAAGATTGGGTTGCCTCCCAACAAGCGCTTATTTATAGTCTTTAGCTTGACTTTATTGTTTCGGCATCATGAAATTTTGAAGAATGCTTTTGATGCCTTGCTTAGTTTGTCCTTTTTGATTTTGTTCTACTCTTCGTTGCTTTTACAAATTTTAGCACTGTCCCTTCCAATGTTATATGACTTGCCTATCTCATCCGATTCAAGTTCAACTATGTAGACTTCTTCCTCCTCTTCGAGTTTAATTACAAATTCAATGATATGGCAATCAATGAAGTCAACAGAGTGTGAGTTAATGTCTTCTTCATTAATTACCTCCCCTTCATTTTGTTCATTTGTAATTGAACTTTTATCGTCTTTGTTCTTGTCTTCCATAATTGATATATCCTCGGGTTGAATGGCTGGTTCCCAATCTACATCTACGGGCAATGAAAACTCTTTTCTTTCAAACTTCTCGAGTGGATTATACCCCCACCTTTTAAATTCGATCCAAAATATGACATCTCCCATGCACATTTTATTTTCATCTAATTTGGCAAGATCATTGTAGTATTTTGCAAGGACCTCCTCGTTCAACATGGAAGGACCAACTCCCACAAACGTGTCTGAAGGAACACACTTGCCCACGGGCATGTAGTCTTCATTAGCAGTGTCAAATGCTAATCTTCGACATCGCAAGTATTGTTAAAATCGCAGGAGCTTGAGCCTTCCTGGGTCAGTGCATGTATACAAGTAGTAGCCAGTATAATGCACTCCATAACAGAACTCACAATATATATCTTCTTCCTCATCATCCATGTCCAGATTAATTATTGCAAAAATAATTCTACTATATCAGTGTTAGAATCTTGCATATACTACTGAACAACACCTGGAAAGAATACCAAATAAGAGAGATCGGGGTGGGTAGCTAAATTCAACAAAATAATAATAATAATAATAAAGTGAAAAAATTCGAATATAATATAAACTACTAAACTAAAATTAAATCAATTACTCCCCGGTAACGGCGTCAAAAACTTGTTTGTGTGAAACTCGCAAGCGTACGTGATCGTTGTACAAGTAATAAAATTTGTGAGTTAAGGGTATCGTTCCCACAAGGAATAAGGTCTAATATTTAGTTAAGTAACTTTTACTAAATTCGAAGTAATATAAAATCAAGAAAGTTGTGATTTGTATGTTTTCTATGATAATCTTAAACTAAGAAAGCAAATAAAATATTTATTTAATATTTGAATATTTGTATTGAAATTGTGAATCCCCCTATTGTCATTTAATTCAACTCTTAATTTATAATCTAGTAAATTCATACATTCAAGACAATCAATAATCCATTTTTATTCAATATTTTTTCCCAAGATATATTAAACATATATTTAACACAATCCGATCCTATTCTTAGTCCGAATTCATATGAAAAACATGCATTGATTCACAGGATTTATCAC